GAACAGCCTTTCCTTCCTTCCTGCTCTTGGGATAATCCTCTATCAGTTTCACGTGAGAGGACTTCTCCCTGCTAATCCCAATCCCAGGACTGTTTTGTTCTGTATTTGTGGGCTTTAGGCTGAATTCAGAGGCCCAAGATGAGAGCAGACAAGACACAGGAAGAGAGCTGCCATCTTGCGTCCCCACGTGTGTGCACCTAAACTCAGCTGGTCTTCCTGAGACCCTCTGAGCACCAACCCTAGTCCCCTGCGCGGCCCCTTTTACGCTTCGACAAGATGAAAGAAACTATCATGAATCAAGAGAAACTCGCCAAACTGCAGGCACAAGTGCGCGTTGGTGGGAAAGGAACTGCTCGCAGAAAGAAGAAGGTGGTTCATAGAACAGCTACAGCAGATGACAAAAAACTTCAGTTCTCCTTAAAGAAATTAGGAGTAAACAATATTTCTGGTATTGAAGAGGTGAATATGTTTACAAACCAAGGAACAGTGATCCACTTTAACAACCCTAAAGTTCAGGCATCTCTGGCAGCAAACACTTTCACCATTACGGGCCATGTGGAGACAAAGCAGCTGACAGAAATGCTACCCAGCATCTTAAACCAACTTGGTGCAGACAGTCTGACTAGTTTAAGGAGACTGGCAGAAGCTCTGCCCAAACAATCTGTGGATGGAAAAGCACTGCTTGCTACTGGAGAGGATGATGATGATGAAGTTCCAGATCTTGTGGAGAATTTTGACGAGGCTTCCAAGAATGAGGCAAACTGAATTGAGTCAACTTCTGAAGAAGATGAAACTTGAAGAAGTTATTGGGAGCTGCTATTTTATATTATGACTGCTTTTTAAAATTGTTTTGTTTATGGATCTGATAAAATCTAGATCTCTAATATTTTTAAGCCTAAGCCCTTTGGACACTGCAGCTCTTTTCAGTTTTTGCTTATACACAATTCATTCTTTGCAGCTAATTAAGCTGAAGAAGCCTGGGAATAAAGTTTGAAACAAAGGTTAATAAAGTTCTTTGCATAGTAAAAAAAAAAAAAAAAGACACAGGAAGAGTGAAGAGAGCTAACGCTTGTTGACTTCTTAATGCTCCAAGCACTGTGCAAAGTGCTTTGTTGTCTCCAATAAACCTCACAATAATCTTATAAAGATCATTATTCCTGTTTTACTAATTGACTTGCTTAAAGTCACTCAGAATTGGGAGGTGAATTTGGGTTTCTCTCATTCTAAAGCTTAGGCCCCTTTACATTGCGCCACTCTGCCTCCAGAGTGAGGATCCTGTCATTGATCTTGGGGACTACCTGCAGCATCAAGCCCGATGCTCCTCATGCAGCAGTGCCAAGTAGAAGTTTGTTGATTGATTTTAAACCTTCATCCTCCCCCAAACATGAAACTTTAAACCACGAAAATGGTTCATCAGCTTTCCTCATC